AACCATTAATATGTTTGACGAGTTTTTTCTTATTTTTATGGTTAGTTTTAATAATCTCTTAAATCTTTTTTAGCTGTTTGTTTGTGAATGATTAATTTTGTTTTTTTCCTTTCCTAAAAAAAATTCTTGTTTCTAGCTCAATCAAATATTTGAAAAAATTATTTTGATTGAGATATTTGTCCTTCATTGAAGCATTTATGTGTTCAGCAACAAGATGAAAACTTTCGATTCAAACAAAATATTGGCTTTAGATTTAAAACTCTGATTTAATTGGATTCATTTGATATCTATGACTTCCTGGTGTGGGTGTTTGGCATTTAGATCAACATTATTCGGAATTCCAATCCAACTAAATTAGGGAATCATATGACTCCGAATAAAACGTTCAAATAAAAACTATGATCAGAAAAACTAATCATATCATTAGAAATTTACTTCGGAGAAAAAGTTTCTGAAATTTTTTTTTGTGGCAATATGAGAATTATGCCAATTTGATTATACGAAAATTTCTTCGGGTATTTTTCCAACAACAAATGCTTCAACAAGCATGATATCGCTCATTAATATGATTGTGTGTTTGTATATCCGCATTCATTCTAAGTGATTCATTACTTTGAAAAAAGAAAGATAGAATTTTCCATTTCCCCAATTTTTTGGAATCATTTAGTTATATTTACAGTTTGAAAAAAACTTTTCAAAAAAAAATTCATTTACAATTTTAAAAATAAATTGAAAAAAGTTGTGAAAAATTGTTATTCTTTTTTGTTGCGTAAACAAAAACTTTTCAGATGTATGAACAAATACAAACAAACCACGTACACCACAATTCTAACAAAATTTGATGATGGACAATTTTTTGCTTCTTTTTTCACATCATCATCATCATATTGCTTGAATGCTATCAGATCGACATTTTTTTATTTACTTTATTTTATTTTTATTGATAATCGATCAAAAAATTGATTGATTCAATCTGAAAAAAAAACATTTTCACATAATGTTTGATTTAGTGAAAATGTAACTTGCTCACATTACTTTAAATGAATCTGTTTTCAATTATTACCATTGAATGAAATAACAAAAATCTTCTTTATATTCATTGAAAACAATTACAATTTTTCATGACTTTTCTCAATCTTGATGATGAAATCTTTATTTCCTTTTGAATTTCTATAATTTTTATCTTTGAATGGAAGAAAAAACTTTAAAATCATTACAATGTTAAAATATGATGACTTAAAAATCCATTAAATATCACGACCGATATCATAAAAAGATCGGCAACACTAGTTTCCGGATTATCATTATCATCATCATCACAATAATTCTTTGTGATCATTATACAGTTGTATTTTGTTGGCCAAAATAAAAAAATCAGGCAGATGCTTTGATTTCTGTTGTTGTTCAAATTCAAAATAATAGTAATAATAAAAAACAATCTCATCTTTTTTTTTCTCTCTCTCTCTAATGATGTAACATGGTTAATATTCTTCGAATGGAATACACATGAAACAAAATATTTTTTTTGAATTCATAGATTTATTCTCGTGTTAAGAATCACTCTATCAAAAAGATTTTGTTTGGTACTACCGAAAATGGCAAAAATCCCGGCCATAATCAACAACAATAACTTACTTATTCATGTTTTTTTTTGTTTGCTGTTGTTGATTTTACATGCCAAAAGTTAAGATAAAATTTTTTGTTTCTGTTTGCTCATTTATTTAATTTAGATTCATAAAATTCATAAGAATGTTTCCCGAATCTTGAGGATAGAATAATCTTGAAACATTTTGATTCTGTTACTTGTTGTTGTTCTTGTTTTCTAATTTTCTTTTTTTTCATTTGAATTGTTTTTTCATTTTATATTTTGTCCGGGAAAAGGTATAAAAAAAGGCCGTTTATCCCTTTTTTCAAATTTTTATTTTTTTACTTGAATAATATATTAGAAGTTTAAATTTTTCTTAAATCTACTTTTACCAATTCATCTTTCTCTAATTCGTAATTTTTCTGGTACAAGAATTTTAAATTGACTTTTTTTCATTCTCATCGACTCATTTTGTTGGTTAGTGTATGTGCTGTTTTTGAAACAGTGCAGCTACAATTTTGTTTTTTTTTGGAAATTTGAAATTAAAAATCTTAAAAGAAAAAAATTCAACGCCCATTTTTAACTAAGTACAATATTTTTCACTCTTCACTTCTACCATAGGTAACATAGTTAGGATTATTTTGCCTCAATAATCATTTTGCTCGCTTTTTTTTTTGTTAAATCCCACCAAAATGTAAAATAAGAAAAAAATATTTTTCTCCAAGTTTTATGATTTCCATGACAATCCAATTCATTATAACAATCTAACAAAATTGTAAATTAGACATTCGTAAATGAGAAAATAAGACAAGTACAAGATATTCATTGTGTCATGATTTATATTAAATTGCAGAGAAAAAAAGAACATGATTTTCTGTGTTTCACTTTGGTTGGATTCCATTTTTTCTCTTTCATTTTTTTCTGATCATCTAGAATTCTGTTAGTAGGAAGAGAAAAAATAAGAAAAAAACATTCATAAAACTTAATTAGTTTTTTCATTAAAAAATGAAAAGAATTTTTTTTTTCTTAGCAAGCAGACTTATTTGCTCATCTTTTTTTCCTAGACACTTGACTTGTGACATTCATTTCTATTTAAAATTCTTAAATTTTGATTTTGCTCTTTTGTTTGAAAATTGGATTTTTTTTCAGTGAATGCTAGGGAAAAATATCTAACATTACAATTAGAAACAAAAGAAAAGAAGAAAAAAATTTCGCTCGAATTGTTTTCACATTTGGCTGTACGATTTATGGCAGTGAAGACAACTTTTTTGCTTGTTTTCGGTTAGTTTACGGTCGAATTATAATTGAAATGGTAATTTCAATTAAAATCAATGCGAATTAGATGATGTAAATCAACCATTATTCTGTTTTCATTTGATGAAAATTTTTATCATTTAAATGTTTGATGTTTACAATATGATTATGAATGTTTATCATAAATTGTCTGGACTGTTTATCATATGAATTAATACTATCATCAAATATGATTTTTTTTTCTTCTTATTTCTTTTGATTTTGTAATTGTTGATAATCAATTTTAATATTATTTTATTATATTATCTGATACAAAATTTTCGACCATTAATTCTTCATTAATCAATGATTTTTGTAATTATCAGATTTTTTTTTTGTTTCCACTTTACCATCATTCTATATTTTATCGATTTCTACATTTGAAGTTATCTTATTATTTGGAAATAGAATTTAGCCAGCAATTATTTGCATTGTCATACGCATTTATTGTTCATTAATTCAATTAAACTAATTATTATTTCTGATTTAATTAAATAATGAATTCTTTTGCATTCTTTTTCTTTTCTCTTGTATATGCTTTTGACTTCTGATTTTTTTCTTTTTCTTGAATTTTCATGAAACAAATGGAACAGAAATAAAATCTATTTTTCTTACTCATTTTTGTACGTGTGTGCGTGTGTGTGTATGTGCAGCATTCATTTCTTATCCAAAATTTTGCCTCGTCAATATTCCAAGGACGTGCTTTGATGCCGAATGAAAAAAAATGTTTGTTTCATACAAGCCGCTACTCAGCAAAACTATTAGATAGAAAAAGAATACATTTTATTCTATTTCACAATTGATGATTATAATTCTTTTCTCATTTCTTTTTTTCTTGCCTTAATTTTAGATTCTTATCTTTCAACTTTTTTTCTCATGCCGTTTGTCCATCATATTCAATAACGAATTTTGTTGAATTATTCACAACGAATACAAACACAAAATGTGAACTTTAACAAGAAAAAATATTTTGGTGGAAAAAAATCTCAACACCCAGCTGGAATGTTTACAATGATTCTTTTTTTTCGGGGGAAAAAATACTTTCATCATTTTTTTTTTCTCCGACTTCGGTCATTTTTTAATCTAAATTCTTTAAATCTTTTTCGCAATAATATGGTTATCTTGTACGCTTCAATTATTAAATGTTAAACTAAATCTTCACTTTTTGAAATGAATCAACTTTAAATCAGATGCGAAAGAATTTCGTATTTGATCCGAACAAAAAAAATAAGATAGAATTCTACCGATATTCTTATCATCCATATGCTAACAATAATTTGCGTCTTTTTTTTGTTGGCCATTCGTTGTTGACATTATACGAAATGATGATGATGATGCGACATGTTTTTCAATTGGAATCACGTACTATTTTTGTGTGTTGATATCGACCGACCAAATCATCATCATTATCATCCGATTTATATTAAACAATCAACAATGAAAAATGTGAAAAATAAAATAATGTGAAACAATAAAATGGGATATGAAAGCCGACGCTTCTTTTGCCAAATGATTAACAATCAATGTTCATCAACTATCAAAACAACAGCTAATTTTTTTGAATCATTTCATATTTTTTTTGACTGTCACGAAAAGAATAAATAAATCGTAATTTTTTTTTTTGAAAAAATTCAATTCAATCTTGACCATTGAGCACATATCATTTTCAATCCAAAATTTTTTTAGATACAGATACAATCTTTGTTTGTTTGCTAACAAAAATGATTTGCCATCATGATAATGATAATGATAGCAATAATCAGATTAATGATAGTCATTAGCGATACTGATGCTGGTTTTGAGCAGGCTAATATTATGATTTTTCAATTATTTCGTTGTTAGATTATAACTTGGCACATGATTTTATTTTTTAACATCGTGTTTTTTTGAAAAAGTACTGAAAATTGAGGCCATCATGATTATATCAAATATCAATCATTCATTCATTCTTCGAATTTGTGTTGTTTATCGGAATTGACCAGCATTCATTTTATCATCTAAATTTCAAACAAACAAACAAAAAATTTTAAAAACTAATCATTTTGTTTGAAAAATTTTTGTGATTATGTCGACTCTGTTCTAATGTTTTTCTATTCTAATCTGTTTTTCTGATTTTGACTGCCCGCATCATAGTTTGGAATTCTCTTTCTGCTTTATTTATCCATAAGGTTGTGCTTGTTTATTCTAGCATCTCATTAATAATGTCACCATTTTATTATCATCATATTCATCATAGAATAGAATCTTTTTGTATATACATCCAAATATCCTCACGATTATCCACTAGAATTCATCAATTTTTACAATTTTCATTGTTTTTCTTAATACTAATACCGTATTCGATCAAAGCATCTAGTTCGTCAACAACATCATCACAGCAATCAATCTTCATTGAAACAATTGCTCATCAATATGCAAATAATAATCATAAACTATTATCACAAAATATTGCTTCCGAATCGGTTATATTATCACCACGAACCATACAAACAAAATATGGTTCAATTCGTGGACATTTAATTAAATTATCTCGAAATAATAAACAACAACGTTTCTCTTCGACAACTTCATCATCACACCCACAAGTGTCTTCTTCATCTCACCCATCTACAATAGATTTATCTGATGTGGAAACTTATTTAGGTGTTCCATATGCGACACCACCTACCGGTGGTTTACGTTTTATGCCACCGGTTACACCAACACATTGGCGTGGTGTACGTCTTGTAACTCGTTTACGTCCCGTTTGTCCACAACATATACCGGCACGTGATTATCATGCTATTCGTTCAAGAAATGAAACAGAAGCCTTACGTTGGATGCCACGTTCTCGTTATGAATATCTACGTCGTTTAATACCAATGCTTGGCAATCAATCAGAGGATTGTTTATATCTAAACATATATGTTCCAGCAATTTCCACAAATAGACCATCATCATCAGGTAGTTATTGTTGTTGCCATTTTTATTTCCTTACACATTTTTAATCATATAAATGTAGCTAGATACCTGACATTGATAATCATAAATCATCATTCAAGTCTATTCGTATCACGATTTTTCATTTCTTCCGAAATTTAATGATCTATTTTTTGTTGCGTTATTGTTATAAGTCATATTGACTGGCATCATTTGCATAATGTATTCGTAGAATTCATATAGTAGTTAGTTTATCAATATGGCCTTGTGGAAAGAAAACAAATTGTCAAAAAACCCATTTTTTAACATATTCAATGCTCATATCTTTGTCGATTTAGTTTTTCTTTTTTTTCACAATATTTCTTGAAAATCATTAAACACAATCAAACAAACAATAACCGTGTTAGGATGGTAACGAAATCGATTGTAACAAACACAGGCTAAATGGCTGGCCACCGAAAAAACAAATAAATAAATAAAAACATTAATCATTACAACATTCAATGGACTTTTTCCCGAACAATGTTTTTTTTCGCTATTTTTCGAAATAAAAGTGAAATGATCAATGATTTTTTACAATCATTATCTTTTTTTTCTCTTGCTTGCATATATACTGAGAATATTTGACCATTTTGATTGACCTAAAAAAATTTCAATAAAAAAAATATGCACCTAACACTTTCTGGCTACTACGTTTAAAAAAATCTAAAACATTTCATTTCGATTCAAGTCATGCTTATTTTCAATTATTGATTCTCAGTCAGTATTCTTTTTTCCACATCCATCTTGTCTATCAAATATATAAATGGATGCCATTTTTTCAAATCTTTTTTTTTCGCTATTCATCATGATGATCATAACTGTTATATGGTTGAAAATCTTTTATTTTTTTCTGGTTTGTTAGTTGATGTTTTTATTTATATGTATAGAACATCAAATCAAATCATCGAACCGATAAACATGAGTTCTATGTTATATTTATTATTATTATTATGGATCTAAAAGACCAGAATCTCAGAACAAATCATTTTTATTGTTGTTGTTGTTGGGTTTTCAAATGTTTGGAACGCAATCCATATTTCAATTTTACAATCATTTATTATGACTATATCCATAATATTGTCATAATCATTTAAATGACTTGAAAAATATTATTTAGTCTTCACACAAAAAATCAAACAACAACAATAATCTAGAAAATATTTATTACTATTCTTAAATCATAATGTTGTTGATGATGATTAAAGACTTTTTTTTGTGGATGGTGGTTGTTTTAATTCAACAAAAAAAAACCAATTGATAATAATCTTATTGATTTGTTTTTTTTTGTTATTTGCAATTGATACATACAGTACCGATTGTCAATTTTGAAAGAATATATTTTTTTCATAGCTTTTTTTCTTGTTTGGTTAGCCACAATTTTCGTTGTTGTTGCTTAAGATAATGATGTCTATTATCATCGATGACAAAGATGTTGAAAATTTGTGTCCGTTGTTTTTTTCTAAAGAATTTTCTATCAAAATTTTATTATCGATTCAATATTCAGTTTTTTTTGCTCTTGCCATTTTTTTCTCACCCAATCATTATCGACATCTGTTTCTGATTTGTACGTTTTTTTGTTGTTGATCATGTTTCGACCATTCAACTATATTTTGAAATGATGATGTAACAATTGTAAAAAATATTTTGAAGAAAAAAGAAAAACATTGCATACATGTGATGTATTTTTCGTTCAACAAAACAGAATAAAATTTTCAAGTACTGTTTTTTCAGGATCATCAAAAACAGTAACCATTCCATTGTAAATAAATGTAGTGAATAGAAATAGAATGAATTGTTATTTCCATATACATTGAATATCGTTTACATTTTTATGAACAAAAAAAAAATTTATCAAATGTTGTTCATTGTTGTCGTTATTGTTGAAGGTGTCGATGTCTGAAAACGATAACGGATTGAAAGTTTTAAAATAACAAAAAAATTTGTTCATATTTCCTACTTGTTTTGTTCTCGGTAGACAACGAAAATGTTTTTTTCTCTTTTTTTTGGTCCATTGGTTTGCCAGGCCAGAATCCGTTTATATTGTCCATTGATATCTACCGAAAAAAATAAACCAATCGTTTTTTTACCGACAAACTTTATGCTAAAAAACCTTTCCCTTTTAGTTGGTAAAAAAATGAATGAATGAATGGAAAACAAGAAAATTGAAAATTTTCACCATGGCAACGAATTGATTCATTCAATTTTGGTTTGATGTTTATCATGAATACTGATCTAGATGCTATGTTGATGATCTTTTTTTGCTTTATATTCTCTCTCTCTCTTTCGCTCCTTCTCTTGTCTTGTCCAAAATATTCAAATGTTTGTATGGAATAAATGATGATGATGATGATGAAAAAAATGGAAACAAAATTCAATAAAGTGTAAAGTGTTAGTTTTGAAAAAATTGAAATTTTTTTTTACACTCTAATATTCTCGTTTGGCTATCAACTTCATCATTCATAAACGGTGTATAGAGATATTTTGAAGATTGCACATCCTAGATATGGCCATTGTGCTTGTTTGTGTGTGTCTTTCTCGGTTTCAGCGATGTATATTTCCACCGTTTTTTTGTTGTTGTTTGGCATTGTTCTTCAACCCATTTTCTATTCGCGTTTTATCATTATAAAACAAGTAAGGTTCTTATCAACAAAAGTATAGCAGACGATAATTTTGATGGTGATCATCATCATTAAAGTCACTGATAGATTCTTATGAATCATCAAGAAGTGAAAAAAGTCATTTATGAATTGAAGAATTGAAGGAAGTCTCTCTCGGTCTAACAATCATGATCATTGTGCGGTTTCAAAAACAAATGAATTGTTTTTTGATATTAATAATGTGAAAATAGTCGGAAATCATTTTTTTTCATTGGGATCATTGTTTTCAGTTTCCAATGGTAAATATTGAAAAAATTGTCATTCGATTTTGATCAATAGGTTAATCTATTGTTTATTTTCTTATTTTTTTGTTTGATTGATGAAATTTTTTTAAAACTAAACTGAGAATAAAAAAGATTTTCCACAAAATATAGTCCTATTCATTTTGGTCGTCAGATGTTTTTAGTTTTTTTGTTTATTTTTTCCGTTTTCTTTTTTTTCCCGAAGAAAAGGCTTTAGACTATATGGGTAGTGAGAGTAAAAAGAAACTGGCAAGATGACATTATTTTTTTCGGCAAAAGATAGGCACTTAATTTTACTTTATTATGTCTTTTTTTTCATAGTTATTCTCTATTTTCCTGTCTTTGCATGAACAAAAACAAAAATCAATTTTTTCTGTTCGTTACTCGTTCAGATTGTCTAAAATATAAATAAATAAATCTCGATCCCCGTTTTGTTTTACCGATGGACTGGAGATCCAAAATATTGTTTGAAACAAGTGAAAAAACGAAATGAATATCTGAAGAAATGCATAGGCCTTGAATGCAGCAGATGTGTACGACACAGTATCCCAAATGATATTTTAAGAATGACTATTTTTTTCTTTATTGTCTTATGATCGGTTTTATCTTTCCGTCTTTCTTTTTTCTTTTCACAAAAGCAAGTAAGCAAAGGAGTATTCGATTATTTGAAAAAATACTATATTTATTAGATAAATAATGCAATTATTTGTGTAAATTATAAAGAATCCAAAAAAAAGATATGAAAAATAATCAGGTTCATCTATAGTTATCGAGTAGAAATGAAAACAATTTTTTTCTCCCACACTTTATTCTCTCAAGAAATACGACTATTTAAACAAAACCAAAAACTACTATTAATATGAACAGATAAGCTTCGATAAGGATGATAGCGGTGCGGTTAATTCCTTACTCAAGTAATCAAATATCTTTTCATTTTCTTTTAGTTTCAATCGATTCGATTTGTTCAGTTTCTTATGGGCAGAAAGAAGAAAAAGAAAAAATACTGATTTTTTTGATTCACTTCTCTAGCCTTGTTTCTATCATTATTTTTATCTTATCTATCTCCCAATCATCATCATCATCATCATCATCCTTAATACTATTATAATTAAATTAATTACTTTATTTTTTTCACTGTAATCTGTTTGTTTTTTGTGTATGTGGTGTGTTAATTTTGAATTAAATTCTGTAATCCATATTCATTATTGGATATCTTAAATATTTCTTTTATATGGGGAAAAAACAGGAAAAATTTACACAATTTGTACACTGAGAATTATAGATTCTCTGGGTGTGTTATTCTGGTATATAAAGAAAAAATCAAAATACGATCATCTAAATGTATTTTGCTTTGATCAATATATATTTAGAAAATTGGCTTGATTTTTTTATATAAAACAGCGTAAAAAATTATCCATCATTTTAGCATCATATTAAAGATCTTTTTTTCTTACTTTAACTTTACTATCAAACACATCATCGCCACTACTCTCATTAAAATACCAACTAGACAATGGAAAAAAACAACCAGAAACTAGAAAATATGATAAAGTAAATGATGCTTCACAAATGATTTTCTATTTCTCTTCCTCTCTCTTGTTCCGATTTGATCTCACGTCTCTTTCTTCATCTAAATGATATTTATTTATGAAAAATAAATTTTTTTACCATTATTTAACTTTGTATCATTAGTTTGACCGAATTTTTATTATTTTTGTTCGGTATTTTTTTTTGTTGGTTTAAATCCATAAAAAAATTCTCATATGAATCTATCGTACATTATTTGTTCTGTCCTGTTTGTTTGTTTGTTTGGAATTCCATATTTTTGTTATATTTAAAAAAAACTAAAACGTTATAACATCATTGTGAATTTATAAATGAAAAATGTTTTAAAATGAATTTTTTGTTGTTGAAAAAAAGTCAGTGATATTTTAAGTGCCCGCACACAGACCAAAAAAAAGAGAATAAATATCATGAAATTCTAACGAATGTAGATTTGAATTCAGTGAAAAAAAGGAAAAAAGAAAATTCTGTGATCCATGTAGGTATTTGTTTCTTGTTATACTAACGATATTTTTTTTCC